TAATGTGGGGTCTTGCTATAAGTAGGAGAGGAGGTCTGCCCCTGCAGCCAGGTCTTTTGTTTAGTCTCAAAGGCTTTTGCTATCTCTGTGTATTTCTCATCAGGTAAGGGGATCTTTATTTTATTTATTTTTAAAGAATTTATCTACCTTTATTATTATTGTTTTTAATTTGCTATAGGGCATGAGTGCTCACCAGAGAGAGACACAGAGACAGAGGGAAAGTGAGAAAGCAAGCCTCCAGGTCTGAGACTCGAATCATGGTCGGCCATGTTGAAGTCCAGCACCTTCACCACCACGCCACCTGCTGGCTCTGGGGATCTTTATTTTAAAGTTGGAAGATGCCATATGCATGTCCAGTGTGGACTTTGAAGGTCGACCATGTATGAACATAGTGATGATTTTTTTGCCCATAATTATCTAGTGCCTCCAGTGGGAGGTAAGATACTGGCCAAATACCTAGGAGGATGCAAGTGGGAAGATATTTACCTTCTCCAGGTCCTTTAATGACAGTTTAAGCAATCAGACTTGATAACGTATTTCTTGCCATCAGGGGGTCTAGCAGCAATCCCTAGTAACAGTGATTGATGAGGTAGATGTCCTTCCCCCTCTTTCTTGGGACTTTCTGCTCATATCTGACTACCTGTAACAGAATCTGGTGGGAACACATGGGAATCCAGACAAAAAAGGAATTGTTCATGGCATGAGGGTGCAACCAAAATCTTTCATCAGCTATGTTATACCTTTGAATCTCTATTATTTAGTCTCTTCCAGGTGGCAAATAATTGGCTCCTCATTCTACAGATGTTGTTGATTTCAAATTTGGAATTATCTATAGTGTAATTAATAGGTTATAATAATCAATACTTTTCCTTTTTTTTTTGAGAGGTTTTTTGTTTTGTTTTGTTTTTTGTTTTTTGTTTTTTTTTTCACTATAGGGCACGTGCGCTTGCCAGAAAGACAGAGAGGGACAGAGAGACAGAAAACGAGAAATCACCCCCCAGGGGGGATGGCCACTCCACAATCTCTTCTCCTCCATTCTCCTTTTGGGATCTTGGGCACGCACGCGCCCGCGCCTGGTGTGAGTTTAAGCCGCCGGGTCCGGATCTCGAACCGCGGTCGACTACATGGGAGTCCAGCAACATAGCCATTACGCTAACTGCTGGTCCCCCCATCAATACTTTTCTGAGAAAGCAGGGCACTAGCAAGGTTACAAGATGATTGGTTTAAGGCTGTTTGTCCCTTAGTGGAATCACGGTCAGCTGTAATTCTCTATGGTCTCATTTGATAAGACCATAATTTCCTAAAGGTTGCCTTTTGTTTTTGTTTTCATGGTGGTGTTTTATATTATGGGGGGGACTGATGTGGGATGGCATATCCAGCAATCAGCTACTATTTGGTATAATCTAAAGTTGGTGTTGAATCATAATTATATTCTAATCTCACAATTTTAATAAGAATGAAATAGGAGAGAAAAGGGCCACTGTGGATGAGAAATACCAAGGGTCTATAGAAAATGAGAAGAATCGGTGCTACTAACAAGATGAAAAACAAATAAAAGAATTAGGCAAGGGTTGGGACCAGGAGGTGGCATAATATTTACATGGCTGAACTCCATCTTAGTAGACTATGGTTCAAATCCCAGACCCAGTGGCTTAAACTCCCACACATGCATGCCCAAAACCCTGAGAGGAGAATAGAGAAGGGATTGTGGTGTGGCCATCCCCAATGAGGGGATGATTTCTCGCTTTTTGTCTCTCTCTGTCTTTCTGGCAAGCATACGCACCCTATAGCAGAAATCTCTTAAAAAAAAAGAAGAAGAAGAAGAAGAAGAAGAAGAAGAAGAAGAAGAAGAAGAAGAAGAAGAAGAAGAAGAAGAAGAAGAAGGAGAAAAAAAAATAATAATTAGGCAAGGGCTCCTTGATGCAATATCTTGGGTACAAACTCTCCAGTAGCTGAGGTTATCAACTTCCTCTGAGATGTTGGATCAGCTGACAACTCCAATAACCAGCTGCTTCTGAGGACTCTCTAAAAATCTTCAATTTGATTTTTCATATTAAAGAAGTCTCCTAATTTTGTTGTTTGTGGGTTACTTCGTAAAATATAAATCCAAGGATTTACTCAAGCAAATTTTACTTCTGTATTTCTTGTAACAGTATCTTATAAGGCTCCTTTCATTGAGGTTTAAGAGGAGTTTGCTCTAATATATCTTCCAAGAGATAAAATCTCATGGTCAAATATCATAGAGAGGCTATTAAAGAAGATATTTTGGGAACACTATCTTAAACTGTTGTAAAATACAGGTGGCTATATTTAAATTAATTTAAATTACTGACAGCATACCCTGCTCAATAATATCCAGTTTCCTGTTTTGAAGTGTGATTCATTTACAAACAATATTGGATCAGGTTTTCAATGGGAGTCTAAAAAAAATAATAATTGAGTGAAATACAGAAAGTTCCCAACTAAGGTAAGAAATTATGAGCTTTCTTTCAGTAGGGTCAAAGGAGTGGCAAAAATAAGGGATTTATAGTAGTAAGTAGTAATGAGAAAGAGAGAGAAACTAGCAGAATCTCATGTGAGCTTAAGTACTTGCTAAAAAAGTGTGTTCTCAGGAAGTAGTAAAGTCTGTATTGCATGATGAACTAGAAATCAGGAGTACGGTCTGTAACTATGTTCTTAAACCAGGGAATTAAGCTTTTGCAGCCAGGTCAAGGTGATTATTTTTTTTTAATGTTTTTTTCCTATAGGGCATGTGAACTTGTCCAAGAGAGATGAAGAGAGATAGTGAAAGGGACATTGAAAAAAGTACCCCCAAGGGTGCACAGCCACACTGTAATCCCTTCTCTTTCGTTCTTCTGGGAGTTGGGACATACATGCACATGCCCCTGCTGTGATTTTTTTGAAGCAAACAGGTTCGGTATTGGAACCATGGTTGGCCACGGGGGAGTCCAACACCTTAATCCCACACCACTTGCTGGTCCCAAGGTAATATATTTTTGATGACTCCCATGAAGTTGAATTAAACTTTAAGGGCTTTTCCAGATCGCTTATACACAAATAAGAGTTTAACTTGGGGATATCTATGAAAGGAGTCTGTTGACTATGCTTCAGTTTTCAGAAGGTCTGTTCATGATTTAGACTGAGTTGACACCATTTCCAGAAAATTTAATACTCGTTTGCAATATTCAGTTCAATGACTGAAAAATCATCTTTGTTGTTTTGTGAGGCATCTGGGGTATTTTTAGTGTGTTTAGTCTTTCAGGAGAGAATAATTTCCTTTCTCATTTAGATTTTGGCTTCAATCATGGATTATGTTTTTATAAAATTATGATTTATCTTTTCAAACTTTATGCCCCTTTTGTTGCTAAGACAGAGAGCAAGTAATTAGAATCCTGTTTACAAGCTTCCTTATTCTCTGCACAAGGGAGGAATCATGCCCATGTTGTCTGAGAATGAGACAGATGACAGAACACCAACAAACTGGTAGTCAGGACATGAGGCCCAGAGATAGAGACATTGGAGTCCAGCTTTTACTAGGAACTGCTTGCCCACAAGAAAACTGCTTGCAGCATGGACTCTCTGATTAATCTCAGATGGCTTTTTCCATATCCCCCATTACATTCTGAAACCTAGATAATGTTTTTTAGGACCCAAGGCTCTCAAAGACTTGATCCATCATTGACACCTAGATAATGGTCTCTGGGCTAAAGCTCTCAAAAATTTTGACAGTCATTTACCATAAGTTCTCTAAATGTATAGTTCCCTACATATACAGCATGACATACCTAGCATGTGACCCCTACAGGGACCAAACATGAACAGGTTCTTCCTAACTAGGATAAACCCCTGAAGAGAGCCCCAAATCGGCTGCCCACCGGTGGGGATCCATTGCGGTCTGGAACTTTCTTCTCCTTCAATAAACATCACTTTGCTGTCCCCTTTGTCTATCCTAATTCTTTGGGAGTGTGAGACAAAGAATTGGCTTCTTTGCTGTTCCTACATTGGATATTGGGCCTGATCACTCCAATATCCTGCATCAAGAACTGAATCACAAGAAAAATGTAGATCTTTCAAGTCTTGACTGAGGACCTTAGAAAAGTAGACAAGGGCTTCAGTGAAACTCTGGGGTATGACTATCCAGGTATATTGTTGCCCCCTTTTCCTCTCCTTGAAATTGAAAAAGAAAAGTTGAGAGTGAAAAAGGAAAGGATTCAGGTATATTCTGATTTCAGGTTGTTGGATGGAGAGGCTGAAAGCAGGCTAATTGAAAGTGAAGGATTTATATAATTAGTTTTGGAGCATATTTGACTTTGGCTGGCTGGTTCTGAGTTGGAAGCAAAGGGAAAAAAATAGAGAAGCTGGCAGTCCCTAACCAAGTCCTATTTCTTGCTGATCATTACAGAGCTCATGGATTGGCTTCTCTGGGCAGTTACAGCAGAGATTGTATGTCAGTGTTTTATTGTTATGTGTGATCTTCCCATTATCCATTTGTATACTCAATCTCTCATCATTTTGTGTCCCATAAATCTTATATTATTTGTCGCTAGGAGCCTACAGGTGGCTTAGTGGTTAAAGCACTGGACATATCCACATGGTTGACCACGGTTTGAGTCCTGAACCTAGTGGCTTTCCTTCTCTCTCTGGTCAAATTAAAATGAATGAATGAATAAAGAAAATTAAATTAATAATTAAAGAAAAATAATTCATCCCCAACAATGTCTAGAAATTATTTGAAGGAGCCAGTCTGTGGAATAGTAATTAAGGCAGCTGGATTCCTACATGGCCAACAGTGTGGTTCAAGTCCTGAACCCAGCACTTTAAAAAACAGGAACATGCATGTGCATGCCCAAGATCCCCAAAGGAGGGAGAGATGAAGAAGGGCAATGCCTGCATTACCATTTCCCATAAAGGACACTTTTTCACTCTGGCCCACTCCCCATCTTTTTCCATTCAATGCACTAGAATTAATTTTTTCTCTATAATTGTTTGTGTTGTTACAGAGGATCTTGATGATTTAAGAATGGAGGGAGTAACAACCCTGGTACCTTCTGGGAACAAATTTAACCAAGGCCGTCCTACTCACCCTGCTGAGCCTCAGGCCAAGGTCACACTTAACATCTGTTCAAGGTGTGCCAGGTAAAACACATAATAGGTATAGTATATATAAACATGATTCTGATTCTTAAAATCTAAGATTTTAATGCAAAGAGTATACGCTTCTGTGTTAAGGAAACCACTTTTCTCTCTCTCTCCTCCTCTCTCTCTCTCTATGTATGTATGTATCTATCTATCTCTATCTGTCATCTATCTATCTATCATCTATCATCTATTTTTCAATCAGTTGTCTATCTATCTATCAATCAATCAACTATTTATTCAAAGACAAGGTCTTGCCATGTCATGATTGTGGTGCCTCATCCTCCTAGCTGGACCATAGGTATGGCACCACCTAGCTCTTTTTTTTAGACTGGGTTTTGCTATGTTGCCAGGCCAACCTCAAGCTTGTGCTTTTCCTGTCAGAATATCTTCTGAGTTGCTGGGGTTACAGTACAGACACTCAGCCTATATGCTCAACTAAGAATCAAACTGGTCCTCTCATGTGGCCCCAGCTAGCAAAGCATAGCGTCTTAGAAGCGGATGACACTGCAGCTGTGCCCCTTCTAGTTATCTTTTGTGCTAACATTGGCAAGGGAGTTAGTTTTATAGTTTATCCTGTGCCCAATGCCACTCAGACCAACAATGAAAATCAAAGACTTTAGATTATCTTCACTTCACAGCTAGAGACTTTTTGAAGTCTGTCTGTCTCTGAATTTCATTTGCTGTCTGCCCTTCTGTTCTTTCTCAAAGAAAGATTCAACGGGTTCTGAATGTTCAAAGCCACTTTTAAAGCACCTGCAGAAAGGACGTTTGCCCAGGTAGTTTAAAATGTGATATTATTGGCCTCTTAACCTGCCCCTGATCCTGTTCACCTCCTGGAAGGAATTTAATCAACTTGATGCTTTTCAGCTTTGGCAGCTGGAAGCAATCTTTGCATATTCTGTATGTGGCCAAAGAAGTAGCTTCTAGTTACTGCCAAGTCTGCTCTCAGTGCTGGGCTAGCAGAAATTACCCAAACAGCTAGAATTCATTCTTTTGTATGGAACTAAATCTCATTTGCAAAGAGGCTTTTAAGCCTGTTTAAATGATAAAACAAGCCTTCTAACCCTTATGTAAATGGTTCAGATTAGCAAGAACAATGTACTGGCTAGCCAATTTTATCTCCTTTTCTTTGTGTCTAGCTGTTCTATTGTACTGTTTGAGAGGGGATTAGCTGCTTGGAAATGGGGGGGAGGGAGAGTGAAGGAAAAGCAAATCAGATTTTTGTAGCTTTTCCTCTTTTGCTTTACCCCCTTTGGAATTTTTATTTTAATTGTCCCAGGCTTAGAAAAAAATGGAAAGGACAACTTTTAGAAAATCAGAAGACATCTGAGGCCATTAAGTGAAATACCATAGCATGGGGAAAACACTAATGGCAACATTGCTTTAAACAAGTAGTATTTGGGGAATTTACTTTTTCACTAGATCCCTGTAGAAAACTTAAAATATTCATGTGCTAATATTTAGGCATCCCTGAGTGTCCAAGGTCATCTATCAAAGAGTTACTTGTCATTTTATTTAGAACTTTAGAGTGTCTTTGTACATTTCAGTCTGTTTGGTAAGGGTTTGATCTTGGTCCTTTATATCATTTGTAGATTGGGATATAAGGTTTTTGTTTTTCTTTTCTTTTGTTTTGTTTTTCAAAACGAAAGCCTATTAAAATAATGTTTTAGACAGACAAACTTTAAGTCACCCACATTGCTGATTCATTACAATCTGAAGGCTGCTTTGTTCATAGTGAGCTAGGCTATATGTTCAAACAATTACCTCAGATATGGGGTGGATGTAACCAAAGCTTTTTTTTTTTTTTTTTTTTTCCATAAGAGAGATTTTGGCTATTGGGCATGTGTGCTCACTGGGGAGACAGAGAGAGTCAGACAGAAAGTGAGAAATCACCCCCTGGGGAGGATGGCAATGCTGCAGTCCCTTCTTCTCCATTCTCCTCATGGGATATTAGGCACACACGCAAATATGCCCAGTGTGAGTTTTAAGTCACAGGATCTAGGACTCAAACTGTGCTTGGCTACATGGGAGGCCAGCAACGTAACCATTATGCCATCTGCTGGTCCTGTAACTAAAGCTTTAATTGTGACATCTAAATTTAAATGGACCTCATATTTCAGGCAATTTAGAAAGATACTTTTAGTTCTATTTTTATAAATTTTCAAAAATATATTGGGAAATTTTCACCTTCTCAACTGAAGAGGACACTTAGGGCCCATCCCTCTTTGGGGAGTGGGGATGTATGTCTCTGCTCAGTTTCAGTTTCTCTTAGTCTTTGAAAAACCTCTCAGGCCTGAGGGGTTATGGACTACCCATCCCTCTTTGGGGGGTGGGGATGTATGTCTCTGCTCTGTTTCAGTTTCTCTTAGTCTTTGAAAAAACCTCTCAGGCCTGAGGGGTTATGGACTATGGTCAATCTGGCTGCTTCCTGCTACACAGGGGCATGGTTCTGGGAGGCAGGATTGGAGGAGAAGAAATAGCATACTTTTATTTCAGATACTCAAAACTTTGCCTTTGGCTTTTCATTTCCATCATGTTACCACCAATTTCTACTGTTTTGGTGCAAAATTAGAAAGCACAGTTAGTTATCATATATACAATAAACTTTTTCTTCAGAGTTGTCAAGAATTATTCTGAAGAATCAGATATTATTTTATTGACAACCTAATATGTTAGTCTGTCACTGTTTTATGCATGCCGGGAAAAACGTCTTCAGTCCTGGTTTAGAGATGAAGGACTTTATTAGTCATAGCAGTAACTATAATCAGAATATTAGCATTTTGAATAGTTCCCTGAGCTACAGTTCTCATGGAGTGACAAATGGTGCACGAGGTTATATTACATGGAGAGGCTCTAAGCTTGGGAAACCTGAATATTTTGTTACGAGCAGTTAGCAACTAAATGCCATATCTGCCTTCTCAGGCTGTTTGGTACATAAAAATTCTCGAAGATACTGTCAGAAAGAAAGACTCCCAACATGACTAGACATGAGAGACTCATGGAAGATTGCCTCCCAGTACTCTGGAGTGTGGATTGTTTTTCTCATGCATTAATGTGGTTATCAAAGACCACGTAGATGGTCTTTAACTAATTAATTCCTTAATTAATTCTGTAACAACAATTTATTTTGTTGCCTTACCACTTTTAGTTGGAAGTAAGATATTTAAGACTATGAGAATTATACTTTTTTTTTCTTTTAATAAGAGAGCAAGCAGAAGGGAGAGATGAAGAGAAAGATTTTTTTTTTTTTTTGGCAGAGTCTCATGATCTCCTAGTCCCAGCTTCCCTGCCAGCTAATATGACCTCAGCCATTGCTAGTGGCACTCTCCTGCTTGTGCCAAACTTGCTGTATCATCAAGACTTATACTTTTTTTCTTTTTTTTAATGGGTGGGGCAGGGAGGGGGGGCATGTGCTTGCCAGAGAGGAAGACAGAGGGAAAGTGAGAAAGTACTCCCCTGGGCGGTGTTGGTGGCCATACTGCAATCCCTTCTCCCACACTCTCCTCTTGGGATGGATTTTGGGCATGCATGCACACACACTGGTATGTTTTTAAACTGCCAAGTCTGATAGTCAAACCATGCAGTTGCCTATGTGGGATCCACCCACCTTAAGCATCATGCCACCGGCTGGCTCAAGAATGGGTACCTTTGAAGTCACCCTTATCTGAAGCTCATGAAGAACTAGGAATGTGGACAAGTGGCGAGGACAGTAACCAAAGTTTATTAGGGAAGGAACAAAAGTGTCCAGTGCAATGGAAGGAGACTTGACTGGGTTGCCAAAGAGGAGCTAAGGAGGGACCAGCAGTTAGCGTAATGGCTATGTCGCTGGACTCCCACGTAGTCAACTGCGGTTCGAGTCCCGGACCCAGTGGCTAAAACTCACGCCGGGCACATGTGCGTGCGTGCCCAAGATCCCAAGAGGAGAATGGAGGAGAGGGGATTGCAGTGTGGCTGTCCCCCCTGGGGGGTGATTTCTCGCTTTCTGTCTCTCTGTCTCTCTCTGTCTGTCTGGTGAGTGTACGTGCCCTGTAGCAAAAACCTCTCAAAAAAAAAAAAAAAAAAAAAAAAAAAAAAAAGAAAAAGAGAAGGGACACAAAAAAAAAAAAAAAAAAAAAAACAGAAGAGCTAAGGAAAGGGGTTTTTATCTCAGCAAGGAGGGACAAGTCCATGTATTTTCTTTGTGGAGATTACGTATTAGATAATTTATGTCATTTTTCTTCTATTCGGGAGTGGGCTCACAAATTACAAGAATTTAGACATTCAGGGCTTAGTTAATTAACACCCATTAGATCTTTGTCTGAGGTCTTCAGCCCATGAAATTTCTAATTTTTATCATGTTTCCCACAAGTGTAAGATTAAGCTTTGTTCTTCGATGTATTTTTTCCCCATTATTTTGCAGATGCAAGCCTGCGTGTTATGTTCCCTTTTCTCAAATACTCATTCGTTATGAGTTATTGTTGTTATGAGTTATTGTTCAAGGTCCCTTTGCTCTCTTGCTCTCCAGACCAAGAGAGACTACAGTTTTTGTTTGGAATGTAGCAGTGATATGGAAGATGTTAGTTTCAGCTATCATTATCACAAGCAGGCTATAATCAACTCTGGCTGTAAGAGTTCTCTGTGTGAGCAGGCAGTGAGAGCTAATAATTGATTTCTAGTAAGAGCAGTACATGATTTTTTATTAAAAGCTTGACTGCAGTGACTCCATCTTGTAAGTTTTCTCCATCTCATAGGTTTATACTAAACTCTCTGTGTGTGTGTGTGTGTGTGTGCACATGTGCCTATTTCTTTTTTTTAAGAATTATTTTACTCAACTTATTTATTTATTTGTTTGTTTATTTTAAATTGACCAGAGAGGGACAGAGTGAGAGAAGGAGAGAGAGAGAGAGCAAGCAAGCTGCCAGGTACAGGACTCGAACTGTTGGCCCTGTGGGATTCCAGTGCCCTTAACCACCACGCCACCTGCCGGCCCTATGTGCCTATTTCTTACTTCACCAGGG